TTTTTTTTTTTTTAATTATCTTTTCGTTTTTCCGAAGTTGCATTTTTATTTGGGAAGGAGAGGGGGGCGGAGGAAGATGTGAAGTGAGTAGCATTTCGGAGATATGCTCCATCCTCTCTAAATTTAACAGATAGATCAATTCAAATGAGAGAATTTCCTCAATGCTAGAATTTTATCAAACACTACAAATTTGTTTTGTTATATTTACGTTAGTCGAGTCCTCACTTCAATGTCAGATAATAACAATGACAGAAACAATAGATTGACTGTTTAGATAGTTTGATTTTCGATGTTTGATATGAAAAATTATATTTAGTATCGAAATAACAATAATAAAATCATTTTATCATTTTGACACAATATAATGCAATTGTGATATAAAATAGAATACGATATATATAATTATCACAAATATTTCTCCGACAAAAATCTTTATTTACTCTCGTTTGCCTGCATTTTCTCTCGAACAAATTATTCAGTTGATTTCTAAATAAAGAAAGTGAGAGAATTTTTTTTTTAGAACCTTTCATATTTCGTTGATCAAGCAAAAAAATTAACACCACAATATTGGTATTAAGATCGATAAAGAAATGTCGGAGTTCCATAATCGATCACAAAGGCAGAGCGTTAAAATATCTTCGTTTCATGGCAGCTGACGAATATCCGGAAAAAGAAAAAATCCTCCACGATAGAGAAACGTTTATGGAATAAAACTAAATAACGTTTTATGGAATAAAACTTGGAGGAACCGTCCGGATGAAACAATTGTACAAGCTTCGCGTAAAAACTAATTAAACGGTGCATTAAGAAAGATGAGCCGGCCCATCTGGTCGGGGGATGAATAATTATCTTCAACGTTGGTTCTTTTTCTTCGCGTGTTTTTGTTTAAAGCGAGCTTGAAGATTCAATAAGAAGCGTTTCCCTCGGCAAACTTTAATTGTAAATTCTTCCACTGCTCGTCGAGCTCGTTGAGGCTTATAAGGATCGTTTGATAAAGAAGTTTCCAGAGGAGAAGAAATTCGATGAAGGAGAATCTTGCCGGTATCTAGAGTAAAAGGAGTCCCCTCTTCGTAAGATAAGGTAGTCACCTCTCAGATTCCAGGATATTTCGGTGTACGTGAACGAAGCTTTCGGCATCACGTCTGTTATTATCGAGGAAAAATTTCCGAACACCTCGCTTCCTCTTTGGAACGCTCTTTATCGCCTCTCCATCGGACTTCGATGCTTTGGGAATTCTTCGAATAATTTTTTTTTTAATCATTTACTTTGCGAATTCCCTCGAGCGAACGCGTCACGCCGTGCCTCCGTTTATTAATTCAGAAGCTTCAGAATACTTTCTTGAAATATTTCTTGGATATATTTCGAATTAATGAATTTCAGAGATATCGAGAATACTCGAACGCGTGTAAATTCACGGAAGCTACATTTCATTCGTGTGTTAGAGGAAGCTGTGACGAAACTGTTATTTGTGATTTGTCAAAGCATTCAGATATTATGCAATTTAATCAGTGTCATCTTCGTTTTTTTCTAATTGAACGGTCAAATTCTAGTGAAGAATAAAACTTTCAGTAATTGCTTCAGAAATTGTACAAAAATGTCTCGATGAGAGAATTCATTTTTATTCGTTTCACGATAACAATATTTCGTCATATCTAGTTTCGAGAGTTTGAGATATAATATATCATTTCTTTAAGAAACTACTTTCAAAACGATCATCTTAATTTCTTAAAATTATTTTAAGATTAGCAAAATTAACCTTCCGCAGAAAATCTGGATTGCTCAAATTTCATTCTTTGAAATGAATTTCTATTTTTATTAATTATCCTTTCAAATATTTCATTCAAGGATTAATTGTATGTTAAAGCAGACACTTCGACAAGTATCACAGAATTTCTTCAGATCTTAAAAGTCAAAAATAGTAAAAAAAAAAAAAATGAACCGTAATTATAAACAGACTACTCGCGAAAGGTACGAAGATTATCCGCGAAGAATTAATTCGTTATTTTACCTAAAAACAACTTTCTCACTTTCTTTAAAAAAAAATCTCTCTATTCAAAGATTCAAAGTTATTTATTACAACAAAACTCTTAAAAAAAAAAAGAAAGCACGAATTAAAATTTGTTCACATAAAGCTGATCAACTGAAGAAACAAGTTCTCCGCCAATTTTTCAGAAACGGAGAAATGCCTAGTCGTTCTCCTGTATGCGAGATAACACTTGTCCGAAATATCGCTGAGATGGAAGCACTTCACGTCAGAGTTGTACGTTGGATCGGAGGCGATTGTTTTCGAAACTATCTCGTCGATTCTCTCGCGAACGTTCGGGTAGAACTTCATGTGGCCTCGTTCATGCGACGGACTTACGTAGGCCCATGGTAGACGGCGGTGCAAAGTTTTGTGAACATTGTGACTGAAAGGCGACCGATAGACACCCATCAACACCTTCCGCCTTTCACCTGTGACATGTTCAGAATATAATAAATTTTTTTCTTTTTTTTTCCTTATACTTGGGACGATAATTAGCACAAATATACGAGAAATTATTAATAATTAAAAATTAATTATTTTCCATGTCTTGACTGTAATCCCAGTTTTTATTAACGTATGGTTTCATTTATTTTTATTGTTATTCTATTTTTTTCCTCCTTTCTCTTATACTTGCGACGATAACTATCAAAGGCAATTTAAAAAATGATTATTTTCAATGTCTTATCTTCTAAGTTTCTATTTCTTGTTCTTTCTCTTATACTTGCGACGACAACTACGAAAAGTTATTAATAATTAAAAATTTATTTTTTTTCTTGTCTCAGATAATTATAATTATCTTCTAATTTTTATTAAAATGAACGATTTCATTTGTTTTTTGACACTATTCTATTTTCCTTATACCTGTGACGATAACTAAACAACTAAAGATGTACGAGAATTAATAATTAAAAATTAATTATTTTCCATGTCTTGGCTGTAATCCCAGTTTTTATTAACGTATGGTTTCATTTATTTTTATTGTTATTCTATTTTTTTCCTCCTTTCTCTTATACTTGCGACGATAACTATCAAAGGCAATTTAAAAAATGATTATTTTCAATGTCTTATCTTCTAAGTTTCTATTTCTTGTTCTTTCTCTTATACTTGCGACGACAACTACTAAAAATATACGAAAAGTTATTAATAATTAAAAATTTATTTTTTTTCTTGTCTCAGATAATTATAATTATCTTCTAATTTTTATTAAAATGAACGATTTCATTTGTTTTTTGACACTATTCTATTTTCCTTATACCTGTGACGATAACTAAACAACTAAAGATGTACGAGAAACTATTAACAATTGGAAATTAATTATCGCCATTTGTCTTGGATGAAATAATTCTTCTAAAGATTTCCTAATCTTCATTGCGTGATTTTATTATTTTCCTTTGATCCCTTTTATTTTATTTTTTTTTTTCTTGTCTTCTTCTTTCAATCGCGTGTCATTAATTACTGAATGAATGAACTATTGTATACTAATATTACTACTGATTTCAGATACAGAACAATTGTATCGGCAATAATTTATAATTTTATCTACTTGTAGCAAACTGGTGTTAACAGCATTCGAGTTGTACATTATGGAATTACAATTGAACTTGTAACATAACTGCTAGGAATATTGGCCTTCTACATAATGGAATTATCCTAACAGGCAATATTCCTTGTTAGAAGCTCAAACTCGACCCGATACAATTATATTAATAACTCATCGAACTAATTGCTCACCCGTGAAATCCATAGAATCAAAAGATCGAAGAATTTATAACCCAGATCTGAATCTATTTACGCGAATTAACAATATCGATGGTTGAAATACTTCCTTAAAAAAAATAATAATAATAACAATATAATTACATTCCCCTTAGGAAATGCTAAAAATCTTGTTGAAACAACATACATAATCAGATTGACGCGTAAAAATTAGAATATTGTAACACGATTGAAAAAATTAATTCATCACTGAATTATGCCTAAGAAATTCCCCATGCTAATGAAATCAATAGATTAATGGCCAACAAGGCCAATTTAAATTACTTTTCGTAGAAATGCAAAAAATACAACGTAATACAACGTGACGTAACAAATTATTATGTCTAGAAATTAGATTTGATGCCTTTCTAAGACTTTCAGACGTTTTACTTTAAAAAAAAAAATTCAACTAACCCGGTAAAAATAAATGGACTTCGAGCATTGAAAAACTAAGAACATCACCCTCCATAGGGTTCAAAATCTTCCCGAGTGTGTGTCCAACAAGTTAACAAGAAATCTTGCTTCGTTCGTATAAACGAGAAGCCAGCTAAATCGAAAGACACAACAGATCCGGATACACGCACGACCAGAACGAAGTGGAAATGGAAATGGAAACGTACGCGTGTAGTCGCAGGATGTGAGATCCTCCGGTAATCCGCTGCTCGTTAATCCTCTCCTTTGTAGCTGTTCGTCGGACAGCGTGTCGCGATTGAAAAAGTCCAGCTCGGACAGCGCCCAGATAACCGCGATATTAACGAACGTGTGAACGTCCGTATCGATTCCCACGTCCATCAGTGTCAAGGTGGCCTGTTCCTCGACCGCTCGAACGACTAGCGAGCTGATTTCACCACTCAGCTGATTTTCAGTCGGTTGCCGCGCCAATTGAGAACTGCACTCCTTCGACTCCCCGTTTCGCCTTCGTGTTCGTTCCTTGAACGCGGCTTTCAAATTGAATCTACCGGGCAGAATCTTCCTATCGTAGGATATCGTAACGATTAGAAGGTTGTATGACATTATGCAGAAAACTCAGTCTCATCGTTATATAATAAACACTCAGTTTTATACGTAATAAAAGTTATACGTAAAATTGTGTATAAAATTACGTATAAATTTCCCAGAGTTTAAGTTAAAGACTGGAATTTTGTGTATTTTGAAATTTTGTAGAATTTCGAATAAGAATAGAATAGAATAGAATAGAATTTGTAGGATTTTAATATAATGCATATAACATTGTTTATTAGTGTGAATTGGGAAACTTTTTCATGCATAATTGTTCCATATCGTTGCCGTGAATTTTAATTACTAATTCTCTTTGTCATTCAGTCTGAATCTCATCTGCAAACATCTAGCCCATCAAACCGAAATTTATATTTAATTGCACGGTGCGAAGAGTGAATAATATTAAAATAAAATAGAAATAGAATTTTCTAAAATTTTCTGTCTCGGAAACAGATGAAGTATTGGCAATCGATAAGGTGTACACCTCTCTAAATGACTATCAAAACTTACGTGTATGAATATAAACGAAAAGTACAATGAAAGAGAAAAAAAAACAAGAGAAACGTTGGATCAGCTCTTTTGATAATGAATCCCTCCTTGCGTTCCAGCGACGCTTAAAAAATTTACGAGCCTTGCTTTTTACTTGGACAGGAGGGAGGGAGGGGAAGAGAGAGAGAGAGAGAAAAGGAAACGTTGGAACGAAAGAACGGTGCGCGAGAAATTTGAATAATTTATTTCCTTGGTTCTCCGTTCTTCCGAGGATATCCTCGAAATAAATTCTCGTTAATTTTGAGAATTCAAGGAACGCCGTGAAATGAACGAGGAGGCGTATAATTCACGTGGATGTTTACGATCTACGGTTTTTATTAGACTAGGTGTGTCTCGAAACGTATTTCTTTTTTTTTTTTTTTGGAAGTAAACGTACGAAATGAATGAATGGTTACCAATCAATTGTTCGAAAATTAATTTTGAGTTTTATATTAATTTCACGTTGTTCCACGTACTTGTTTCATTTTTATTGCAGTATTTTATTTAAACTATTTCGTTATGTACTATATTTAAACGCACGTTCAAGACTGATGCCGAAATTTTATGCTTGAACAGTATTGGTCTTTTTTGAATTAGTTAGGTTAAAAATGTAACAGAAAAGAAGTACAAGCCTTATAGGTGATCGTGGCCTTCTATCTAAGCTTTTCAAGCTGTAATCAATGTCCAGGCCAACATCTTGGAAATATCGGGCTCTTGGTATTTCTTTGTACGGTAAATATCTGAAAAATTCAAGCAGAAAATATATTTTACAATTTTTAAAAGTTATATAAAGAGAAGAGAAGTATAGAGTAAATAGACCGAAGTGTCTGACCATTACCTGCCTATTCTACTAGGAATGGAATCAGACATAAAAGTTCGTATAATTCATTCCTCGAACGTATAACTATTATGTGAAATATGTTTAAATACTTACAATTATATTCTAACATATATTAAAAAATCTATTTACATACAGCAAATATTATTTTCAAATTTTCTAAAATTTCACTTCGACAAACATCATAGTTCGATCGATGATTAATTGCTAAATTTCAAATATTAATTTTTACCAATTTTCCGACTGTTTCAAATTTCCTTTATAATTCTATTATAAATCTCTATTAAAGTTAATATTTTTAAAATATTTAATATAAAATAATTTCTATTGGAGACAAGATTTAACAGAAAGTTTCACTTCGATACATTTCACATTTACTTACGTTCAAAATAATTTCCATTTCTCTATCTGTTACTTCCCCACGTCTTAACTCGAATTCTAAAACTTCAATCTCGCGAACTTGATCGCACAAACGAAGATACAAACGAAAATCCGACTGAATTTCTCGCGACCCAAAAAAAAAAGCAACCCCTTGGATGGATCATATTCCTCGGAGATTCGATATCAAACTTCGCCACCATTATTCCTCTCAAACGTCTTCATCCGACCGGTCAACTCGGCACGAAACAGTTGCAGTTACTTTTCCAGCAATTTCCGTCGAATCGCCAGGTAGCAAAGGATTCGCGGAAGATTCGAGGGAAACCGGTTCGAGTGGTCAAAGCCCCGAGTCAGTCTCTACGAATGGCCAACCGGCGCGCGTAATTGACCGAGGCCATCGCCTCGAGTTACATTTCCCGCAATTTCCGTCTAGTCGTCGGCGAAAGATGGGAAAAGTCGACGACGGCGGCGAACGCATCGTGGGTTCAACTTTGGATTTCTCCAAGGCGAGACGACGGTTCGAGGGGAAAGGTAGCTGGTATACGCTGGAGATTCTCGTTTAAAGATAGTGCTTGTATTCTATACTAACCGCGCCGGTGTACGCCGGGGAACTCGTTTCACGCGGGTAAATAACCGGTCGAATTACCGGGCTTAGAATCCTGCTAAATAAGCCAAGCACTCTCTTCCTTCCGTTTCGATTGTTTAGCGTTTACTTTCGTGGATTAATATTGACTTTATTCTACGCCGGCGACAACGATTAGCGCCGCTCGAGCCCGCTCCTGTCCACGACATTGTTGTCGTTCGTTGTTTGTCGATCGTCGGTCGTTCCGATCGATCGTCGATTAGCGAATCGTCGGTCGTTTAGACACGGTGGATTCATTAAGGAATCCGAGCAATTCGCAGTTGGAAGAATTCGAGGCGCGGGATTTTCATAGACGTAGATCGTCAATTTTTACGCGATCGCGAGAGAAATTTAACGATGTAAGATCTACATATGTGTATTCGATAATACGTTAAACAAAATTTCCGTTCAGATTCTCTTTCTTAAAATACAAAACTGAATAAAAATTCGTACGCTGTTGATTATTGTAGTAGATGAGATACGAGTGTTATAATAGAGATAAAGATGAAATATTGTAGTTTACTAGTATAGAGAATAATTCGTAAGCCTCAAACAATCTTTCGTAATCTTTGCTTTCGTTGCTAGAAAAAAATTTCAAAACGTCTCAGATGGTTACTACATAGATACAAGTTATTAGAATTAACAAAATGATCAAAATGGTCAAAATGGTCAAAATGGCTTTCTCTCACTCGGAAGATTTCATGACTAGTACCTAACCAACGCGGAAGTAAAGAGATTAAACATGATAATTTTTCATTTCACTGCAACATTTTTTGCCACTCTCTTGCAAAAAGCAAGAAAGAATTTGTTCAATTAATTAAGCTGACGATGTTTCGTTGATAATCGCGAGAACTACTCGATTACACATCCTTTTCGGAGCTCCTTTTTCCGATATCATTTCGTTGAACAGCCGCGACACTCTGGCGCGGAGGACGATGAACCAGCCCCGAAGAAATTATGAATTCGACGGATGACTCCGGGAGTGTATTGCCACGCGACGAGTAACCCGCGTGTAGCCCGCGTAAAATATTAGCTATCAAATGTTGGCGGACAGGTTTTCAACGTGTCTCACCGCGGTATATAAAGGCTGTCGGAATATTCAAAAACACGCGGAGTGTGTTTGGTATTTGAAACCGACTGGCTGTTAAAAAGATCGAGCAAACAGACACTCTGGTTAAGAGATACACTTTTCGTACTTTTTCTTTTCTTTTTTTTTTTTGTGAATATTTCTTTTTAATATCTGTTCCGAAAATCTCAGACAATATGTACTTTTTGAAAAAAAAAAAGATTGACAAATATTGTTCGAGTAGAATTTCAGTTTCTTTCCTTCAAGTTTAATTAATGTAATGTCTAAACTACATGAAACTGCACGAAATACAAAATTGATTAAGAAATCAGAAAAACAATAATAATGTCATTAATCTATATAATACGTTTCTAGTTTACATATAATAAACAAACGATGTGATTATCATATGAATAACAAATAAGTAACAAATTCTCTCACTGATTTCAACTCTGCAAGATTTCTAATCTACATTTGGGACTGGCGATATTAAGAAATTATCCACTTATAATACACAAAATTCATGTTCACGCTCAAACAGTCGTAAATACTCACAATTTGTGAGACAGGTATGGCTCCGTGGTATCGGGAGGATCCTCTTCATCGTCAGCGAGCGGAAGCAAATCTTCGCACATGTCTAACCACGGGTACAGAATTTTTTCCCTTCGTTCCTCCTCCTCCTCCTCCTCCTCCTCCTCCTCCTCGTCTTCGAAGCTCTCGTAATCCTCGTCATCGTGGGACTTGAAAACGTCGAAGTGCCGGTCGTCCACGATTTCCGCAGCGCTGGCTGCAAGCGGAAATGAAAGCCGGTCGCGTACACACACGGGAATCGAAACGCGCCGCACTGTTTTCCCCGCCGACTCGGAAAAACACGATTGCGCTCACTTACCGGGCACCGCGCAATCTAAACAATTCAAATCGAGCCACCGTTCGGGCTTCGAGGCCAATTCCAACCAAACGAGCACGGAGTTTAGATCGAAAGGCCGTACGCAATCGCGCTCGTTTTCACGTGTTTCGTCGTGAAAAATGAACGATTTGGTGAGATTAATTAAGATAAAGTTTGATGCAATAAAATATACTAAATCAAATAATATTATTAAATCGATAATTTAAATATAAAACTTATTATATTATTAATGAAACTATATTAAATCAATAACTTTTACGATTATTTAATGTTATTAATTGATACAATGAATTAAATTAAACTCGAAGAGTTAAAATGGAATAAAAAACTCGAGAGATTTTTCTAGCGATAAATACAGAAATTATCAATGTTCAATTTCTGAACAAAAAGAGACGCTGATGTTGTTTCGATCGACGTAGCGCGAAGATTCGAATATACACGCCGTTTCGTGCTCGGATCACGGAGGCGCAACCGTGATAATGAACTTCGTCGGTGTTCGAGACTAACGAGATCAGATCACAGATATTAATCTTAATGACTCCTAAGTTGTCTAAATCAATAGGAGCGACACTCGGCTCGTGGAGATCAATTTCGAAATCCATAATGACGATCCGGTAGGAACTGAGATTGATGACCTCCGGCCATGCCACGTCAATCTTGATATCCCTATTTCGAAAATACCATAGCTCGCCGTGATCCTCGCGGATCTCCAACCTATTTTCAACCGGAATAACCGAAACCAAAGGGTGAGATCAATTTTATTGTAGTTCATTGTTCAGAGTCAGAGTGTTGGTCTTTGATTGATATGAATCTGAATTGTTCTGCGGGAAATGTTAGCACATAGAACGTTTTAAAAGATAAAGGCAGCTTTATCCCTTGATCGAAATGAATAGAGTATATCTCTTTTGTATAGAAATATTGAACGAACGAAAGAGGAACGAGAGGGGAACAATTATTCTTAATACATTCTTTGCATATTGTGAAGAATGTTCGGTTGATGGATTTATAAACCGTCCATTAGAAAGAATATTACCATATTATATCAAGGTGAAAAAATACCTCGAAAAAATATTTATAGAGATATTCTGAAAGACGAGTCATTTCAGATGCATGGCAAGAACATATTTTTCTTCTTTCGCTCCCCGAATATCTTTTCCTGATCCTGAACGATGAACGAGTAAAGATATACTGTATCATATATCTTTATAGGCAAGCTGTACGATACATCCGTTTAAAAGCACTCGTAAAAAGATTTTCGATACATCTGGTAGATCAAGCATAACTCACGCAGGGTTTAAAATTCATTTTACTTGTCTAATAAAACATCTTTGTCGAATGGAAAATTTCCAGATAGTATTGCCTTTGGTAGTTTAGCTCCTTATCGATAGCTACCATTTGGAAAAAAATTGAACTTTACCAGAACATTGAGATAATTCGTTTGAATGTTATCAAATTAATGATCGAAAGTAAATTCTTTTTTTTTTTCAAAAATGAGAACGAATATAGGGATTTTATAAATCGAAATATGGAGAACTATGGATGATATTTTTAAAAGCATCTGTCTCTTAGAAATTCAACATTTATCGTACATTTTCTAATTATCATTATTATTATTAATTGTGAAGTTAAAAGATTGACAAAAGATTTACCGAAAAATTTACTCATCTAAAATCAGTATTTATTTATATTCTATTTTAAATATTAAGTTGTTCCTTTCAATAAACCCAAAAATTGTATACTAACTCTTACTATTTTAATATTCGAAACCGTACGGAAATTTCTCCATTAAACTTAAGTCTTCGCCGAAGTTCCTCAATTTAAAGATTTCTTCTTTACCACCTTTCTTTTAAATCTCTCAATTACCAGAATCGCCGCACCACTCGAACCACTATAAATCCTCTTTCCGCTTATCGGTGCAACCTCTCCGGCAGTTAAACCTCTTCGTATCGTCAACGAAATTTTCCCCCAATAGGAGAGAAAAAAATCTCACGTTCTCGAGAATGTGACTCGACCTTCGAAGTTGCGGAAGTTGTACCCTGTGTAACAATGGAAATCGTTCGCGAGAGAATGAAAGAAAAGGAGAGAGAAGAACGTGACGATTTGAGGGGAAAAAAATTGACATTGACGAAATATGAAAACGAAACGGCTGACCAGTGAACAACGTTTATGGATCGATACGCGGAATCATCGTCGGACGACGAAATATTCGCGCTGAGCCCGCGTTTAATCCGTCAGATGATCGACGCGCGCGCGTCGACTCTCGAAAAATCGCGTCAAACGTGATCGATCGTTATACCGATGAATGACGATTGATGACACGTCTGCGAAACAAACGCAGCCCTTGCCCCTCTGAAATCGACGCCGCGTTAACCAAATCACGACGATGGCAATTCTTTTTTTC